GTAACTTGATGACTGTTCCACCCATGGGTTGCCTGCTTCCAGAGGACTATGACAGGAGCGGCCGAGTCTCTTGGGGGCACAGCCACGCGCCCATGTGCTCCTCCCTTGCCCCTCCTCTGAGTTTCTCTTTACCCAGCTGGCTCTTCCCCTGGCCTTCACCCTCCCCGCTTGTCCCCATTATCTATCTTCTCCTGTCACTGGACTCCTTGGGACAGCCTCCTGGGAAATATGCTAAGTGTTGGGAAATGCCTTCAAACTCAAAACACCACAGGGGAGGGATGCTTATTCTCATAAAAGGCAGAGGTGACAAGCTGACATTAAACGAAATGCGTGGTTCTCAAGCTTGATCGTGCATCAGAATCACCCGGGAGGGCTATGCAGGCCCCCGAGTTCCGATTCAGTAGATTCGGGGCCCGGATCAAGAATCTGCATTTCCAACAAGTTCTTCAATCGTCATCTATCCTTAATGGTCTGGGGATCACTTTCTTTCTTTTTACTTCCCCAAAACTTTTTTATTTGGGAGCGATTTCCAACTTAAAGAAAAGTTGCAAGAAGACTAAAAATCGCCTTGACCCAGATTGGGGCCACTTTTTGAGAACCACTGAGCTAAGCAAAGTATGTCAGAGGCCTGGTTCAAAGAGAGCAGTCACCTGGCAGGACGCGATGCCTTCTAAGAGCAAGAGCGGGACACTCGCCAAATCGAAAGCAAACCCACTGAAAAGGGCAAAAGGTGGGAAGAAGTGTCACAAAATGATGAAAGAGAGTGAGTTTTAAGTTAAGCTCTGACCAGTAAATATCATTATCACTCAGTGGGGAAAATGGATACGCTCCCCTGGTTTGTCTCTCTGGTGCTTCCTCAGGGTGATTTGACAAACAACAAATCCATAATCTCCAGTATAAACTGGCTTCGAGAAAAAGGGAAGGCAATTGTTTGACAGGGGAACTCTACTCTGTATACTGGAGAGACCTGGGCATGGATGATTCTGCACCCACCTCAGCTCAGGACTTGATCTCTTGCCTGAATTTCTGTAATAACTCCTCATTGATCTTTCTGCCTCCATCAACTTTCTCTCCAATTTATTATCTTTTTAACAGCAGGATGCAATACTGTCAGCTCTCTAAGGACCTCCACGAGCTCCTACAATATTTGGAATGACGCCCAAATATCTCAGCACGGCATTTAGTCTGGCCCCAATTCATCTTTCAAATCGGCGTGCCTACGAACCAGCCGCAACAGAACACGCACAGCTTTACCTCTGCCCAGCCCCGTGCCTTTGTACACAACCGGGTTTTTGTTCCCCTGGATACTTTCCTTCTCCCCAAACAAAATCTTGGGGGGAGGGGAGTCCTTATGTTTAAAAATACTATTCTAACTTCAAGGTTCTGCCCCGATACAGGAAGCCTTCCTGCAGTTCCTCAGATCTCTCCTTTGTGTGCTCACCATACCCTACTTGCACCTTGTAACACTTACACCGTCCTGCCCTACTTATTATTTATGCTTTCTTTCCTGTGGGTTTTATCAGGTCCTTGAAGGCAGGCACCGCGTCTTTTGTGCAGTGACCAGAGCAGCACCTAGGTGGGAGGGGCAGATAAAGAGGAGATGAAGAGAGAAGGGAGGAGAGAACAGTAGGAGAGCGTGGCGAGGGGGAAAGTTCAGTGTTAAAGTTTTCTGAGTCATTCAGAAACTTTTGGCTGAAGACAGATCCTCCAACTAACTTTTTTTTTTTCCGGAACAATCCCAAGACACTGAACAGCTCTGCACAACTTTTCTTTCGTTTTGCCAACACAACACCTCCCTTTCTCCTTGCTTTCTATGTTGCTACTGAGTCGAATGTATCAGGCACGTGACCTTGTGGTCATTAGTTTGCCACTGAAACAGGCTCAGGTGCATTTAAACCTATTAAATCTCCTTTGATATTGGGGGTGGGCGGGTTGGTCAAATTCCTACCTTGTGGATTAGCTTTAGGAGGAATTTGATCAACATTCCTCAAAGAGTCACCTTTTTTATATAAATTTTTAAAGTCTACAAAAGCAGAATGCCAGCAACTCTCAGTGTAACCAAAACCTGGCCCCTTTGTCACTCTTCTGTACCACGTTCAGTAGAAGGTCTTTCTGCCCAAAGAAATCACGGCAGCCTCCAGACACACATGGCCTCTTCCTGTGCCAGCGGCTGTCCTCAGCAAGGAGGTGGAGGCAGAACTGACTCTACCCAAGCTTGTCCCTTAATCCTTTCCGAAAAGGCCATTCAGCATCTTACCTCCTGGGATAGTAGGGACAGTTTCCGTTTCCGCCTAACTCTTCCTGCAGGAAGAACGAAGAATTGCTCTATGCACAACGTCGAGAAACATATTTCACTCGTAGGTGGCATATAAAACTGAAAGAAACAAATGAACAAACAAGACAAACAAAACGCACAACAGCAAACGGTAAAAGGGGTCAAAGACATGGTGACAAAAGGAGACCTGACTTTGGGTGGTGAACGCACAATACAATATACAGAGGATGTATTATAGACTTGTACAGTTGAAACCTATATAATTTTATTAACCAATGTCACCCCAATAAATTAAATACTTTTTCTAGTCTAGTTCAACAAAAACGGCTCTTGCACCAGATACCTGGGCCAACATGCCTGACAAGCGCCCTGCTTAGTATTTTCCTAGACCACCTCACTCAGCTTTCTGTTACACCTCCACAAATTTTCTCTGCCTTGATTTCACCTCGTAATGAGATTCCTAGATCAAGGAAAGAAGTCACGTGATAGGGAGAAAAACCGCACAGCTATACAATCTGACTACGTATCACCACTGTCGTAAATCTTTCCCAAAGGAAGCTTATGCTTCGGTTTCCTGTTTGCTGTCCTTGAGATAGTAAGTGATGCCAAGTCACAAAAACCCATAGTCCTTTGCTTCCCATTTCCCTACTGCTATCCTATTTACGACTTTACTCAGAAATAGCTGACTTCACAGCCTTTGCCATGTAGTAACCCTTCACCATAAGGACCTAATATGAAATCCTTAAAATGAGCTGAGTAGACATCAAATACTCAAAACTCCAAATTACCTAGACTGGTAGAGGTTAATGTTCTGCATTAAATACAAACAGAAAGTATCAATTTTGTACTCTGATTATGCCTGCCAAAGAACTGAGTCAAATAAACACACAGAATATGATAGATGAGGGCAATAGGGTAGGAATACATCACAGTTATTGAGAAAGGTCTAAGAAGTGAGCAAATGTAGGTATGTCCTAACCTCCTTTCCCCTCCACATACTTCTATCTGGACCTTCAACTCTCCTTTTCCAGTGTAGAGCTGACTGAGAAATAACCTTTTAATATTTCCTTCTATTTATAATTTTTATAGCGACATAACCATTAAGGGCTATGCTACTGAGCGGGTACATGGCAGCAACCCAAGAATCTGGGATAACTAGACAAATAAGTATAAGAAAACAGTTAAGTATCAATTTAAGATTTTCATTAACCTTGTCTGTCTACAGTGTTGGTTTATCAAATTAGCTCACTCTGAAAAACAGAAAATCCATCATACGTTTGTGGAGCTTAGGCCTCACCTTCCTTTTCCTTTTCATTCTATAGGTAAGGAAAGGTCTGGAGTATTGTTGTTTGATTAAGGTCAGAGTCTAGTTAGTGACAGAGATAGGATCAGGGCACCACTCTAAGACTTTTTCATTATACTCCACAATCCTCAAAGAAAAGAGTTTGAAATACCAGGCTTCAATACCCAGAGCACTTACATATACCAGAAGTCAAATCAACTACTTCTAAGAAGAAAAATGGTCCACCTTAAGCCTCAGCCTTTGCTATAAGTAATCCCTAGGTGAGTCCAACAAAGATGCTCTAAGGGGCCCCTTAGGGGGCAAAGAGCCTTTCAAAGCTACAGTCAGATTTCTTTCTGTTTCCATTCATAAATTATGGGCAAGTGATTTCAACCACGGCATACTATGTGTGGGGGTCCAAATATAGTGTTACTGGTCATAGCAGGAATATTAGTTATAAATTTTATACTCTTCAGTACAAGCATTATATGAAAGCAAACCTCAAACCTGGTTCACAATTAATCTGAAATAAAACCAGCTGGGAAAAGCTGAGGGGTCAAAACACAATGGGAACTGCAGCTATTTACAAATGTTTAAAGGCAAGTTTAAATATATTATCGAGAGTTCAATTATAACAAATAAGTTGCAAAGATCTGTCTCAAAAACTATTAACTCATGTCATAGTTAAAACAAATTGCTAAAATGATGGCATTCTTTTTTAATCTTAGAGAGCTTAACCTACCCATCTGTGAAACAGAAACGGTAGATTTTCATATTATATCTTAAGATAGGTGGCAATACACCATATTATTGGCAACCTGCTAGAAAAAGCTCTCTTATAAAAGAGCACAGTAAAATAATAGTAAATGGCATGGGTAATTTCACATAAAAAAATATGAAATCAAATGAGAGCATGGACTCCAACAGATATTTGTACAGCAATGTTCATAATGACATTGTTCATAATAACCAAATCATGGGAACACCTCAATGTCCGTTACCAGATAAATGACTAAACAAAATGTGGTCTATTCATATCATACATGGAATATTACTCAGCCTCAAAAAGGAATGAAATTTTCATATACGCTACATCATCGGTGAACCTTGAAAACATTATACTAAGTAAAATAAGTCAGACTCAGAAAGACACATACTGTAAGATTCTACTTATATGACAGGCCTAGAAGAGTCAAATTCAGAGAGAGAATGTAGAATGGTGGTTACCAGGGACTGGGAGAGGGGAAATGAGAAGTTATTGTTTAATGGGTATGAAGTTTCAGTTTGGGATGATTAAAAAGTTCTGAGATACTTAGTGGTGATTGTTAAATAAATATGTGAATGTACTTAATGCCACTGAACTGTACACTTGAGAGTGGTTAAGATGGTAAGTTTTGTGTTATGTATATCGTACCACAATAAAAAAAATCAAATGAGAAATACTAAGTGGCAAGTTCTTTTATGATTTTGACCCATATGACATACGCTCAAAAAAATACAAATAACAGAAGAGAGGTATCGGCCACAGCATTAGAAATATTAATATTTCTAATACACACCATCAAATAAAAACAGACGTGGGTTCATCAACCCAAAGCCATTTATCCTGTGTGTTCATTACTAAAATAACAAATGCCCACCATGATTATGAATAATGCATTTACATTAAGCACAAGTTCCGACCAAACATAGAGAGAAAAAGACAGAAGTTGGAGCAGTGAAATTGTGTCAACACACTGACACAGCAACCATCTGTTGACATTACTGTCCTCTGAATCCAAGGGACCAAAGTCATGTGGTAGGGCTGGGAGCTTCACCTTAGTTGTGAAGTCCTACTTTCATGTCATAGGGCACTTCTGGAAGGAAGCCCCGTCGCGGCCAGCTCTAAGTACTTGCAGATTTCCTACGAGTCCTACCAGGAAGTCATTCTTGTGTCTCACCTGCGTGAGTTCCTGTTATGAGGCCAGGGGGCTAGTGAACTGAAATCCAGTTTCAGGGGGTGATGTCATCGAGTGAGCTATGATCCTGGTGACCTGCTCCCCATCCTGGTGTTGTTGCAGCCCTTTAGCTGGGGTTCAGGTTATAAGGGGACCAAAAAGGAAAAAGGGGGAGTAGGATAAGAGAAAAGGAAAAAAATGCTTGCACATTTCCTTTGTTTCACTAAAGCATTTTCTGCTTCCATTTAATTTGATGAGAGGACCTGGCCGATGGCAGATGGCAGATGCTCTTGGAATAGGGGTGGGCTCTCACACACATCTCGAAAATACAAAGGACTGGAACATACAGAAAGCTTTCATTATTTCTGGTAGCTCCTAACTTGGAAATGTGACTTATTCTTTTTTCTTTAAATAAAGTTTAAAAAAAAATACATTAACACTTTTAAAACATTTGTAAATTGTTGTAAACAATGCATAACCCCAGGATCTATCTTAGCAACATAAAAAAATAATACAAATGTTTGGAGATGTGCAAATACTCATTTTCTTTCTGCACAATGTCAAGTAGATTAGGAGGTCAATCTGGAAATCCTGTCACTCTAAGTAACAAAATAGGATTGCCATTCAATTCCATTTAGATGAGATGCTTTGGTTCTTCATATACCAAGCCAAAAACTAAAACAAAGTCAAGCATAAGATGTAGAAATTGCTAACATTCCAATATGATAGGAGGAGAGGGCTTTCTTAAAAAAACAACCACAAAAAACTTAGGCAATTAAATGAAGGACAGATTTAAATTTTTACCATGTTTATTTTACATCATGATTTGTCCTTATTAGGTTGATACAATCTGGGGACATAAAGACTCCCTCTCCCCTTTTTGTTGCATATGGATTAGTAAGGGTAAGAAGAGCAGAATATGGGAGAATAGGCCGGGGTGTTGGAAGTGGAAAGACAAAGCTGGAGAGAGAAAGAGTTTGTCTGAACCCTTCCATGAGCAGTACCAACCAACCAAGTACAAAGCTGACGCCGTGACATGTTTTCCTCCCACGTGGACTTCTGAAAGTATGAGACAGTTTAAGACCACATTCAACATACAGTAATTATACAGAATCCTGGTGCGTGTTTCCTATCAGACATGATGAGTATATTCATTTTTCCTCACTTTTTAATCTTCACAGATGACATTATTCATGAAGCACTTTTTATGTATTATTCAACAAATGGCAATTTGATCCCGCAGACCAATCCTGGCCAGCAGAGAGCATGGTTAGCTGCCACGTACAGGTCCTTCTTTCAAGTAACACTCGGCTGTACACTTGGCACTTCAGACCAAAGGAAGTTCTGGGTGGGCGTTCCTTTCAGTTGGGTTCACAACTCATCTGCAACACTAAATGCAGATAAAATAAAGGTCACACCTTGGTTAAAGGTTTGTACAAAACAGCCTCTTGCAGATGTAGCCAGTATCTTGTCCAGAGGGTGACTGAGAGGAATTGTATGTTAGCCTTTTTATCCGCATTTCCTCTAAAGGTCTTCAGCCCAAGCTTTGCTGCTCCACGACCCCGAGGCCAAGCTGCCTCTGTGCTGGGGACGCCTGTCCCAGAGAAGATCAGCATGTGTGCAGATGGCCCCGCATCATGTTCATCGCATCAGTTCTGCCCAGTCCACAGGGGTAAAAAATGGGTGAGATTTTATATCTTCAACACCAGCGACTCCAGCACCGAGACGCTCCAGAGGGTTGAACTGCAAGAGCTGAAACAGAGGGTTTAGTGACTAACAGGAATCCAATGAGCGAATCAAAGGGAAACAAACAATATGAAAGGAAAGCACTTGTAAATTCAACCCCAGAGAGAAACACACTTAATAGCCAACTGACTATACTTTCTTGAAAGGCAGCTATGTCTAATAGCTGTGGGGTCGTGGGGGATATCTGAGTTTGTGGCTTTTCAGCTGATCTGAAACATGATCTTGAGTAGCTCACCTTCTCTCTTCCTCATCTAGTTATACTTATGAATTTCCTATTCCAAAAGTACAGTGTGATATTCATGTGATACCGCACCAAATTCCGAGAGGTCCAGTTACTCCTTTCATGACTGGAAAGTTTGGGAGACACAGTCAGTCTTTCACTCCCTAGTGAATTATATGTGCCCTGGGATTAAACTTTACCTCAAGTCTGAATTAGCCAACTCGTATTCCAAAATTATTTTCTTTAGAATAGCTGATTCACATGGAATAATTTACTCCTATGAGTAAAACATGTCTTGACTTCTCCCCTGTTAAAATTTATGTATAAAATAAGTTAATAATATTACATGCAACAGAATTGTTGAGTGTGGGAAAATATAGTAGTCATATACAATTACTGTAGATCAGAGGCACGCTGGAAGAATGTGTCTTGAGACAGTCATTCATCCTCGAATTTTTGTTTCAACAGCTTTACAGAGGCATAATTTATATAGCACAAAATCCACCTATTGTAAGTGGTATGTAATACAGCCACTCCCACTCTCTTATGGTTACTGTTTGCATGGTTTTCTTTTCCCATCCTTCTTCCTTCAACTTTCTTATGTCTTTGAACTTAAGGTGTGTCTCTCGTACACAGAAGAGGTTTGGATCTTACGTTTTTATCCAGGTTAACTCTCTCTGCCTTTCGTTTGGCATGTTTAGACTTTCACATTGAACGTAATTATTGGTATGATGGGTTTACATTTGCCATTTTGCTCCTTGTTTTCTACATCTATTGTCTTTTTGTCCCGCTTTTACTACTTTCTTTTGTGTCAAACACTTTTTACTCTAGTATTTCAGTTCTTCTATTAATTTTATTTTTTTAGTGGTTGCTGTAAAAATTACAATATATACATTTGAATTTATCACAATCTACTTCAGATTAATACTAACTTAATTCCAGTAAAATGTAGAAACTTTGCTCCACTATAACTACATTCCTTCTGCTATTTTGGCCTATTATTGTTATATATATTATAAATTGCATCTATATACATTATAAACCCAACAGCACTGTGTTATAGTTAATGCTTCATACAATCTTATGCCTTTTAAAAGAAGTTTAGAAAAGAAATTTTTAAAAATATATTTAGTCTTTTTTATTAACTCCTATTTACCATCCTAGGGCTCTTCATTTCTTCCTACAGATTCGAGTTACTATCTGGTGTCATTTTCTGTCAGCCTAAAGGACTTCTTGTGTTATTTCTTATAAGGCAGGGTCTACCAGCAATAGATTTTCCTAGTCTTTATTTGGGAATTCTTTATTTTATCTTTGTCTTGGAAGGGTTGACAGTTACTTTCAGCACTTCGATTATATCATTTCACTGCCTTCCGTCTTCTCTTTTTTTTTTTTATTGAGGTAAAACTGACATACGACATTATGTAGTTTCAGATGTACCACATGATTTGATATTTGCATGTATTATAGAATGATCATCACAATAGTTAACACAATCTTCAATTGTTTTTTGATAAGAAGTCACACATTAATGTTCCCCTGTCTACAAATTGTTTTTCTTCTGCTGCCTACAAAAATCTTCCTTTGTTTATGTCTTTCAGTAATTTGACCATGATATGTCTACATGAGGATCTCTTTGCTATTTTCCTACTTGAAGGTCCACTGAGTTTCTTCAATGCGTATCAATGTTTTTCAGCACATTTAGCATTTTCAGCTATTATTTCTTTGAATATTTTTGCTGCCCCTTCCCCTCTTCCCTTTCCTTCTGAAACTCCCATTATATGTATACTGATATATTTGATATTGTTTTACAGGTCTCTGTAGCTCTGATCATTTTTCTGGACTGTTTTTCAGATTGGATAACTTCTATTGTTCAAATTCACTGAGTCTTCCTTCATCTATCTCACAATTGCTGTTAAAATGAATTTGTTTCCCTTAGTGACTTCTTCATTTCAATTACTGTATCTTGAACTAAAGAATTTCTACTTGGTTCTTTTGTTAAAAATGTAATTTTTATATCCTTAATGAGAATCTCCATTTGTTGATTCACTGTTGTCATACTTTCCTTTAATTCTTTAAACACAGTTTCCTTTAGTTCTTTAAACATATTTATAATAACCACTTTGAAGTCTTTGTTAAATCCAAAATCTGGGGATACTTTAGAGACCATTCCTATTGGCTGCTTTTTTCCCCTGCATATAGATGATACTTTTTTATTTCTGTGTATCTTACATTTTGCTGGGGGAAAAAGGACATTTTAGAGAATATATTTTAGCAACTCTGGAGTCTGATTTTCTTCCCATGAAGACTGTGAGCATTGCTGTTGGATGGTTTAATAACTTGTTTCAGCCAAATCTGTAAATCTGTTTCCTCCACCCCACTATAATAAGCAGCTGTTGATATCCCTGCTCATTTTTTTTTCTTGTTTTCATTTTTAAGCTTGGCTTCCTAGGGGTCATCCCTCTGTCTGCATAGCTTAGTGGCCAACCAGTGATTAAAAAGAGACTGAATTCAAATATGACAAAGGAAGCAAGGACATACAATGGTATAAAGACAGTCTCTTCAATAAGTGGTGCTAGGAAAACTGGACAGATACATGCAAAAAAAATAAAATCACACCACTTTCTTAAACCATATACAAAAATAAACTCGAAATGGATTAAAGACTTAATATAAAACCTGACACCATAAAATTCCTAAAAGAAAACACAGGCAGTAAACTCTTTGACATCGCTTTTAGCAATAATCTTTCAGTATATGTCTCCTTGGGCAAGGGCAACAAAAGGAAAAACAAAGAAATGGGACTACAGTATCAAACTAAAAATTCTTTGCACAGCAAAGGAAAGCATCAACAAAATGAAAAGGAAACCTACTAAATGGGAGAAGATATTTGCAAATGATACATCCAATAAGGAGTTAATGTCCAAAATATAGAAGGAACTCATACAACTTAACACCAAAATAAACAAACAAACCAATTAAAAAATGGGCAGAGGATCTGAACAGACATTTCTCCAAAGAGGACATACAGATGGCCAACAGACATATGAAAAGATGCCCAACATCACTGATCATCAGAGGAATGCAAATCAAAACCACAATGAGATGTCACCTCACACCTGTCCGAGTGGCTACCATCAATAAATCAACAAACAACAAGTGCAGATAGAGATGTGGAAAAAAGAGAACCTCCGTACACTGCTGGTGGGACTATAAATTGGTGCAACCACTATGAAAAACAATATAAAGATTGCTCAAAACATTAAAAATACAGCTGCCATACAACCCAGCAATTCCTCTTCAGATATTTATCCAAAGAAAACAAAAACACAAAATCAAAAAGATATATGCAGCCCTATGCTCACTGCAGCATTACTTACAACAGCCAAGATATGGAAGCAACCAAGGTGTCCACCGATAGATGAATGGTAAAGAAAATGTGGTGTATACATGTAGAATGGAATATTATTCAGCAATGAAAAGGAATAAAATCTTGCCATTACAACAACATGGATGTTAAGTGAACTAAGTCAGATAAAGGAAGACAAATACCGTATGATTTCACTTATGTGTGGAATCCAGAGAAACAGAATAGAAACAGACCCATAGATATAGAGGACACGCTGATGGTTACCAAAGGGAAGGAGAGTGGGGAAATGGAGGAAAAAAAATACTACAGTCACTGAAGCTTCCATCCTCCAAAACACATTCAAAATTTAGGCTACTTGCAAGTCTGCCCTGGTTTTTCTTTTCACTGGCTCTCTCCCTGCTCCTATGCACATGCATGCAGCCTCAGGGTAGGTCCTCATGGCCTGCCCCAATCTGGCAGAACCTGCATACCTGACCAAGCAGGGGAAAGAGAGTGGGAACAGCCCAGGCAAGAATGCCAGACAGTCCCACTCTTCTTTCCCAAAGGACTGCTGTTTTTCTAGCATAAACACTTTTCAGATTTTTGTATCCCTTTGATCAATTTCAAGAGCTCTGAGACGGTTGTTTTTGCCATCACAGACTTTATAATTCTAACTTTATAATTTCCTTTTTTGAGGAGAGAACTTGCCAACTTCCTCATAAGACTATACCATTCAAATCTGAGAATATTCCCATAGCAAATAATTTTTCCACATAATTTAGCCAACTGCAACTGAAACATTTAAATAATTTCTTTATATTACTTACTGATTCTATAGATATAGAAAATCCCACTATTCAAATTTAACCACAACTTCTATTTCTTTATCTTTCATTTCTATTTTTTCTTTCATTCATAATTCATTCATTCCATTATTTGTGAAAAAAAGTATCGACTGATTTCTTATTACATGCCAGCCCACTACTTTTTTGAGACCTTTTCATCATATCATTAGCAGTTGCCTCACTCTTATGTTAGCAACCCTATAATTCAACTATACGCTTCATCACATTACAAATTACTATATGCCATGAACTTTCAACACTATGTCCTATCAATAATAATAATACGAAAGATTTATATGACACTTTTTGTGTGTTCTAAGTGCTTAATATAGGTTAATTCATTTAACTCACAACTCTATGAATATATATACCATCATTTTCTCTGTTTTATAGATGAGAAAACAGAGACCCAGAGAAGTAGGAAGTAGCAAAGACAGGATTTGAATTCAAGCACTATGGCTCCAGAATCCATGCCCTTACCACAATGTTACACTGCCTCACAAGTGTGTGACCTGCAAGGCCAAGGATCTATTACCTCACTTTGATATTACCAAATCCACAAAGGGAGCGAAGCATATACCTCAAAAGACTGTACTCACAGTCTTTTGACTTGAAATTATTGTATCTAGCATTCAAAATGACTGTTTATTAAGTCTAAATGCTCAAAGGATTTTTGTATTAGAAGTTGCTAAAATGTGTTAAGAAAAGCTATTATAAAACAAACATAAGAATATCCTAAATATATCAAACCCATTTTCATGTCTACTGACTGAAATGTGGAAGGCATCAGACATTTTAATATAAATTTAAAATATCAAATATTGGTAAAATTAACTATGACTACAGCGTATTTTTTAATATTTCAAGAAACATGTAAGTTCTTTCTTCTTTGTTACAACTGGCAATAAAGCTGAGCAATAAAGACATAGAAATTTGTTTTGAAGGTTTTTTCTCATATAATATCTTCCAATTGTGTCATCATTAACTAAATGTACGTTGTAAAGTACAAACAGGCATGCTCTGAGGACCCATAAAATACGAGTATCTCCTTTAAAAACTGCATTTAAAATTTAACTGTGTTTACTTTAGTACCATTCACTTGACTGAGAGGACTGAAGCATGGATACAGGGGATTACAAGGTCTAGGAAGAAAGTAAGACGCTGACAGACCAAAGAGAGGGGAAATCTCCCCAAAGCAGAATAAATATTTCCATAAAGATCATTTTCTGATTTTTTTTAAAAGGACCTCTATGACCTGTGAGGTAGTGGAAGAGGAAAGTCAAAGTGACAAATTGCTAATCATGCCAAGAGACCCCTTTTCCCCTTCCTGATGATGTTTCCTCGACATGAGTGGTAGTTTCCTTAGGCAGGCCAATGACAGAATGCTGATTTACGACATAGGCGGTAAGTATCCGTATTGGGGATTTAACATACTTAAGCCTAGACTCCTTTACAACATAATTTCTAATAAAAACAGGAGCAACAGACCTTTATAAATTAATGTGGGGAATTCTATTCTAGACATTATACAGGGTGGGGCAAAAGTAGGTTTACAATTATAAGTATGGGAAACAGTTTTATTCTTGTATTATTTATTATTTTCCAGACGACCAACTGTGAACCTCCTTTTGCCCCACCCTGTATAATAATGACTACTTTAAAGAAGAGAAACAAAAAATAATTTAATTCCTTAAATCATTTATGAAAAAAATGCTTTAAATTTACCTTTTTGTGCCATAACAAAAAAGATGAAATCAAACAAGTGGCTGTCCTTTTTCCCATTGGAATGAAATGTTTTATATTATCTTTGCATTATCTCTTAATTCTTTGGCAAAGTATTCTCATCTCAGGGTATTCTCATATCAGTATTTCCAACCTGATTGTGTTGCTTTATATTTTCAGAAACTTCGTGAAGTACAGTTCTGATCCTTCCACTCTTCTGTACAACTTCAAATCTCAACTTTGTTCTGCATTAAATTCTATCGCTCTACCCCGCCGTTCATGATAATAGAACCCCAGGAGAGAATCCCAACTTATCTTTCCACATTCAACCCTATATTCATCCCTCCACTCCAGATAAACCAAATTGAGTCTTTGAGACTTTTCCCTTTGTTCATTCCACCCAGCTATTTCTCCCACATCCAACCTTGTCACGCTGGAATTCTAAGGCGCCACAAAAATAACGCCCGCTGCACAAAACTTTCCTAATACTACCACTGGGTCAGCAATAACACTCCTTATCTTTACTTGCCAAAGCAACCTGTTTGACAGGCCTTACCACCCCACCAGCAGTGCAGATACCTATGTCTTACCTTTACAGCTTACAGCACTAGGCCTGCATATATTTGCTACATGTAACCAAAGTCACTCTTCAGATACTAAGTATTTCTCTTCTTAATATATTAGCTGTTCCTCCCCTTTTTAAAAATTTTGTTTTCCCTGATAAAAAAAAAATAATTCATGTTTCATTAAATAAAAACTTTAGTTCTTGATCTTTTTCAAATAATCTTTTCCTTTATGTTTCTTATAAAAGGGTACAGACCCCAGGCCTGGCAATTATTGCTGATTTGCTGTGAGCCTATCATACCACAACGCAGACAACCCTCAGTGCACTCACCAAATCTGCTATTCAAAACTGGAGGAGCATTATAAGTGTAGGGAATCAATTTAAGAAGTTAACCAGAGTTCCAAGACTACCTCTGGGATACTGAACTTTAATTATCAGTTGTCTCTTTCCTCAAAGCCACCAAAAAAGTGCACTAACTGGCACCAACACCAAAGTTCCATCAGTGGATGAAGCTAATTGAGAATCACCTAATTGGGCAAGATTTTCTAACACCACTTCTCTCCTACGCAACCAGAGTAGCCCATTTCTAAGTTTATAAATATGAATTAAAGATTGAAAATAACCATTTACATATCGTTACAAAATGTAGCAGCAAAAACAGAGCAGCTCCAGACAAGCTAAAAGCAAACACTTAAATCTCACACCTATGCAAATACATGGAATTGACTAAACATTAGCCTGGATTTTTGAAAAACAAATTTTAATACCAATAAGTTTTATCTGTTCTCTCTGACCTCATCAATACTTAGTTAATAGCAGGAACCTAAAGACATACTGTATCAGTTCTGAATTTGTGATTAGTAGAGGTCTTTCTTGCCTGAAACTGATTTCTTTAAGGTTCTGGAGCTGCAGGCTCTGCTAATTTGCATGGTTGATATACATGGCCAATAGGTCAATTAAATTACCTGTTGAATGAGTGAGCGAGCCTCTTCAGAGACACATTCTGGCATGTTCAAAGTAGTGTGAGTAGTTATTCCTGCTGGATGGCACTCAACCAGAGTCTGAAACAATCAATCAGGTACAATTCTTATCCCAGGACTGATGGACAGCGAGTACAGAGAACGCAGTGACAATCTTAACTGCAGGTGTAGTCACCAACGGTTTAGCATGAGGCTCTAAACCTACACAGCTTCTAACTGGAATGAAGGCAATCAGTGAAATCTCATCATAAGCTTACGCTTCTAGCCCTTTTCCCTTAGTTATAAAGAAAATGGCTCAAACATAGAAGAGCTCACATTATACACAAAAACTAAAAAGGGACTTTAGATATCTCTAAAAACTTTTTAATGTATTAAAAACCTTCAAAGTTTAGAATTTGTTAATAATATTTTTTTTTATATATAGCACATTATGACTTAAATGTATGCATAGATGATTTATAAATTCCACAACTGTCTTGGGAATTCAGTATTATCTACATATTTAAGGTAGATGACTACTTACAAAACTATGTCTGTTCATGTCCCCTGTTTCCTTCCCAAAAGGCAATCTGTACAGTACTCTATTAAAGTCTATTAACCTCAAATATCTTACTTAAAAGTTATTGATCAGAGAGAGTATAAATTCTGTCCTTAAGCTAGAACAGGGAGGAAAAATATACAGTAGAGAGAAAAAAGATGTTACCGTTCATATCTACATTTATTTTCTAAAATGAGAGTTCCTTCCTGATTTCAGACGAGATGTTTAAAACATCCAGAGAATTCTAACATCCTGATATAAACCTTAGAGATTTAACTCTGTTAAAAGTGAATCAGAGAAAATAAAGAGAAAAAATGTTTAGTCTTATATCTTATTGTATACTAACATTGCAACATAACAGAATTTTACCATCAATCTATTCAGTGTAATACAACTCAATTTTTACTTAAATCTAAAATCTTGATAAACTTGCTTCGTGTGTGTGTGTGTGTGTGTCTATCTCAAAGGTTTTCTTACCTAATCCCTTATCTAAAAATTACAGGCAAAGGCTAAATGTTCTCAATTTGAAATCAAGGTAGCATCTGGGTAAACTTATTAAGCGTCCAGGTCACTGCTTACCTTGCCAGTGAGAAGTTCAAAGAGGACAGCACCCAAACTCCACCAATCACAAGCTTCAGTCTCTTCAGTGATTGCTCCAACCTCTAAACACACCAAAAAAGGTTGATATTAAAATTCCAAAGGTCAATTAAACTTTCAAAATTAACATGTATTAGCAAGGTGACCTTTTTAATGCTGAGAGAGCATATCCTAAATACTACTGGGCTTTCAAAATTCCTGAAAGTTACTTATCCCTCTGGTCACCTACTGTGGTTGCATTTTTATTTTTTTTTGACGCAGTCATATATTAAACTGAGACATTTGTTCTTCAGCTGATCGAAGGACACCTTCAAGATGCTATACTTAAAAGTTACATGAATCTACTAGATCAGCATTTTGCTTAATTTTTCAAATTTGAGAAAGTGTAGCCAACTCTACCTCAGAGGTCATGTTTTGTTTTAAAAATAAAGACTCTAGGTTCAGAAGGAACTGCAAAAATCATTTAAAGCAGTATTAATTATCCTTGTACAGATTAGAAAGCAGAGAGGTGAAATGCCTTGTCCAATGTCACATAGTAAGTCAGTAGCAGAACTAAGACCTAGTTCATAGTATCATCCCCTCTCCTATAAAATCGTTTCCAACTAAAGACAGAGCATGTGAAATGCAAATTTACCCATTCGGTTATTACAAGTACAGAGAGATATGTTGTTTTAAGCCACAACTGAAACTACTGGCTAAGATAAGGGATTTTACAGTGTCTACAAATTACAATTTTGTCTGTTATCCCTCTCTCACCAGCACAAGTTCCTTAAATATAATATGAGTTTTCAGGTGTCATCTTTCAGGTTTCTCTACAAATCAGCAAAAACTCCTCATTTTACTATCTCTGAGGCTTTTAGCCCTTAAGTCACGTTTGAGATACTCTTGTCCTTTCTAATGACATTCAGTTAGTCCCTAAGCCTTATCGGTATCTGCCCTTTCATTTCTGACGACAAAACATGCTTATTAGTTGTCTGCAGGTAGCCCACAACTCATAACAATAACATTCACAAGGTCTTATAGTTAGGTCGGGACTTGGAAAGTAATTACTGGAAGTGGTGCTCAGGTGCCCAGCCCTGTAACCAATACTTAGTAAATCTGTGTGTGGGAGAACCACAAAACTCAGAACTGCTTGAGCTTTAAGTCTTGAAGCAAAGGCCCGAGAAAGCAAAAAGAGCCATTCCTATGCAAAATACTGAAATTACCCCTATTTGAGCAACAGCCTTCCATATCCCTGCACCCACCCTCTTCTTCTGGGTTTCATGACATATGTAGAATGACACCCCTCCGCAGGCCTTCCTCTCCCTACTGAACTTCATGCCAAATCACAGCCTCCACTCTCTAATTAGCTGCTCTCACTTAGGTGGCAAAAAGAAAACAGATATTAACTATTATGTGAATGACCAAGTCTCCTGGTCCTCCTAGATCCATTATCATTTATAAAATAGCAGCTTGTTTTAAAAAACAGAGAACTACCTGTCTAACAATAGAGATTTAATTATATAAAGTGGCACATCCCTAGGATGGAATACTACTACATAAGCATGAAAATGATGGATTCATGCAAGGTTTAAGTATATAAGTCAATGTCTGGATATATTAAATTTTTTAAAAAATCTATAAAACAATAGAATTCTAATTTTAAAATCAGTTTTTTAAAAAAAAAAAAAGATTGATGAGAAAATATGACAAGATATTTTGGTGGTTTGCCTCTGTGGTAGTGACAGTTTTACTTTCATTCCATACTTATTAGCCTATATGAACACCTAAGTGGTACAATTTTAAATGTAGAACAAGATGACATGAAAACACTCAGGCATGTTGGAGCAGGGAAGACGAAGCTATATGTAGGTCAATCCTGCCCAAGAGTCTGCTCGCCTACATGATTTCCCCAACAACCTGAATGCCATCATACATTACAGAGCATTGGACTAGGAATCAGGAGGCCTGGGCTAACAGCTTTGAGGAATTCACTTGATCTCATTCATAATATGAGGGTTAGATCTGAGGGTCTCTACGTTAAATTTAGCTCCAAATTCTATAATTTTGACACTCAAGGATTTCCTAAAATAATGATTTTCTTTAAGAACGATTCAGAACAATTCAGTGGAGGCTCTCATTCAAAGTGTCCCTCCCAGATTCAAACACACTGCCCCACACTCATTCCCAACCTCCCCACTGAGAGTCACTATCACCTTCAAACACATGCTTTGAAAACTTTAGGAAGAGCGTGTGTTCTTAGAAATTTTACCAAAGTAAAAGAAATTTACAGTGGTCCTGTCATCAAATATAACACTTTGCACATTTCCTTCCAGTATAAGCAGTCAATACAGCTTCCTGTTCAAAGCTGTGAAACGCCTTCTTGTTGACCATTAAATAACATTCGCCGGTCTAGCTTAATCAGGCTGCTCTACAATCAGGCCTGCACAGTGAGGTCTCAGCCTGTCAGAGGCATTCAACCAGCAGACAAAAGCAGCACAAACTAGGCACTATGTGAGGCACTAGGCACGATTCCTCCACAGAACTCCATGCGCTGGCCACATCACTAAGTAACATGAACTAAAAGTCAGCTTTCCCACTGGCACAGTTAGTGGTTTTATCTTTTAGTATGCTTTTGCTGAAGAACTTAAGTTATTCCATTTTCTTCAATCATACAGCAAGTAGTACATATTTCTTAGTTCTACAAGTCAAGACCCAAAATCATTGGTCAGCCATCTGTCTTGAATATGCTACCAACAAGTCTCACTTTTCTGTGTATCTTTGTTGCTTTGCTCACAGTAGGCACACACTGCAATGATGGTAATGGCAACAATAAAATAACAGCTAACATTTACTGACTGCTTGCTATATGTAAGCAACTATGTCTAATATTTTATACACATTATTTGAAATTTCCAAGCTGCCTTATGGAGAACTTATTTGGGTAGGGTGACTTTGGAGAACACAGTAATTGGGCATCCTGGGAAAAGAGGAACATCTGACCCAATCAGAAGTTGTGAAAATTAATAAGATGGTTTTATAGGATCTAACAACATGCCCTGAAAAGCTCTAGACTAAAGCCACAGGCCAAGTCTCTGCTCAGAAAGGTTTCCTGTTAGAATTGAGCAGAGAGTCACTGAGATAAGTCTACATAATATAATCAATGGCTAGCAATTTATAAAGGCTCCTTTTAAATTCAGCCAAAGATCCAAGTGCCATTACCAGTGTAGCCTAGACCATCAAAAGGGACATGTTATGCCAGTTTCCCATATCACTGCTGAGAATGTTTGGGGGGAGGGGGCAGTGAAATGTGTCACTCTGTGTGTATGTGTGGAGGGAGGGGTCCTTGAAACTACCAAATAAGCACAGTACATCTTCCTGAGCATAAAGATTTTTATATGTGTGGAAGGGAGCAGGATATTGTTTTACTATTAAAAGAAACACAGATCTATTATGGAACAGAATGTAAAATTTGCATGGACTCGCAAGATAAAAGACTTCAAAGGAACTTCAGGATCATATTTCACTAGTCCCCTGGGGTACCCATTTCATATCACCTCTACAATCAGAAGCACTTGGGCAGAAAAGTTTGAGAGGCACTTCAGGAGACAGACAAGGTGTATTCTTTCATTGGCTTCTGTGAACTTGCTCAACTGAGGAGTCTAAGAACTAGGTTCATTGGTTTTATGCTGCTTTGAAATCCCTCGCAATTTTCTGCCAGAGTCCTTAACAGGGAGGTAATGACCAACATACTGCACCAAATGTGAACTGCCACAGTGTCTGATGAGCTCCAATCTGAATATTCCCTACTATTAATATAGTATAATATTAACATAATATTATTATACATTAGCCCCAATTCTAATTCTTAGATTAAAACTGTAAAGACAGACCCTGAAATTACATTGACAAAAAGAAGTCTGAGGGTGTGTGGCTGTCAAAAGCACTTCTCTAAAACTGCTTTACTTGCAAAATCTATATAAAAAGTTTAAGCATAAACCAAGAGTACTGATTTATATACAAAGCTACGTGATAGCTACTACAAACACCAACAGGTAGATGTGTCTAGCTTCAAAAGTAGAAAACTTAAAGAAATAAATACCAAATAAGTTTGTGAGGCTATTTTAACAATAAAACGTGGCGAAGCTGAGAAATCCCTTTAAAATCCTACCTTAACTATTTTTAATCTCTCTAAAAAAAAAGCAGAAACATTTTAAAGGATAAATTTTACCACTGCTTTGTCAATTTTCAAAATATTTTTCCTATAAAACCCAATGTGTTAAGTTTCTATGCATGCCCCCCCACCCCCACTACATTCTGATTTGCAATTTCCAGGGCGGTAAGTAAAATAGTGTCTTTATTCTCACCAGGTGCAGCAGTGCTATAGGCATCGAACAAAGTGATGGGGGGGAACCACACCCTAAGAAAAAACATATTCTCAGGCTATTCCCACAAAAACTCAAAAAGGGATGGTGCTATCAAAGAATCCTACATATTCTTCTTTCTGAGCCAAAGAAATGTATTGACAGGGCTCGAGTTATGCTGCTGTGCAAGCCTGGCTCAGCACGTCACTGAGCTCCTCTGAAAATGAGGCCAGCCAGACCTCTAACCTTCTTCCTACCTGTATTTTATGATCCTGAAACTGTTCTCAAAAGCACTCGTGAGCCCTTCTCATAACTTTTTCTCCCTCCATTAACTTAAGATGCCCGAAGAGCAGGATTATGCTAAAATGAGCTAGCATCCCTCACTGTTCCTTTTCCTCCTATCTACACATAGCCGCTCTTCCCTTCCCTAAGCGACCTGGTGGCAGGCGAAACGAACCACTGCCACTAAACATAACTGCTACCACCTTTCAATGTAATGGAGACAGAATCAGCTCCAGATTAGATTTCAAATCATCTAGAATTTTTTAAGGACATCAAATATGTGAGAACAGCTTAGTAAAAGTCAGAGAACTCTTGCATAAGCACTATCAATTCTCTGATTCTAACACAACACAGAAACTTATTTTTCCTTAACTACACTTTTTTTTATAAAGAGAATCTTAGAAGCCTTATTTCTTTTCACTCTCAAAGTAATAGTAACT